GTGAGAGAGACCAACTGAAGAGGATAGACAAGTCAACTGGAACAAGTGTAACTGACAACTAATAATAATAATTAATAATACATGTACATGGATATTCTGTACATGTACTTTTGTACATAAATTTATACTCCAATTATCAAAAGTAAATGTATCAGAAATGTCAGAAAATGTAATAAAAACTCTCTCCTGTATACATACACATGTACATCAGTTCAATGAATTACTATAGTACATGTACATGTACAATGTACATCATTTAAGGTGTTTAATTAATGACTGCTGGTTAGGATCATGAAGTAGCCCCTCCTCTATTGATTGAAGGGTTTTGTTGGAGTAATTTCGGAGCTATTTTTTGGAAAAATTCATGGGCTATAGTCTTGGGTATTTTTCAAAATTTTAAGATTTTATTTAAGGCCTTTTCACACTGGCACAAGTAATGCGCATTGATGCGCATTAATCGTGTTCACACTAGAGTGGTTTTGAATTAATGCGCATCAATGCGCATCACTCTTGCTTCACCTCCAGAGGTGGATTGATGTGAAGTGATGCGCTTCGATCAATGTAAACCAATGGCAACAAGAACACAAAATGATACACAATTCAGCTGCTAGTGTGAACACGATCAATGCGCATTATTTCAGCTGTATCAACAAAGCACATCAAAGCGCTTTGAAAACTGTGCCAGTGTGAAAAGGCCTTAAAACGGCCGTAACTCAAAAAATTAAAGTTGGAATCAGCTCAGCTATGCACTCCAGCTACACCAGTGAAGGCAGCGCCTGTATCGTGTACTTATCATGTAAGTATAAATCAATTTGTATCAAAAAGTGTAATGAAAATATGGAAACAATTTCATCAAAAATGATTCATTGAGAACTCTTTATTCTTATAATTTTTGATATCACATGTTTTCATGTTGTGTGGAAGCTTGAGCTCATTGCGATCAAAATTAATTTTTAATGAATTTTTAAAGTTACTAAAATTTGTCAAAACATAAAAGGACAAACATGTACATGTACATACACTGACTGTGTGTCCTAACCTTGTTGTATTGGTACCAAACACACAGCTGTACGAGAGACCAGAGGAGGTGGGGGAGGGGCAGGATGACGAGACGAATAACGTACCTCAAGATACTTTGAGTCTCTGGGAATGTGTCGGGTAAATGAAACACATATTTTCTATCAACACTCTAAATAGTGAGAGACATGGAGATAAAGGATTACATGTACATGTACATATGTATATTTACTTTTGATGTTCATTTCATAATTCAATGTTTATCAGCAAAGCTCTCGTTAAACTCCTAAAATACAATAAAAACAATGAGATGTAATAATATTAATTGGTTCATTTGTTTAAATGGACATGACTCAAAAGTTTTAGTGACAATTGGCTTCAACTTTTTACATATAACAAAAATTTGGAATGATTTTGAGCCATTTTTGGGGAAAAAGCATGTACTATAGTCCATAGTTCTTTGTTACAGGGAGGGCTGCCAATAGACAATGTGGGGAAAACTTTGATGGGGCCCCTACTACAGGTATGGGTACAGGATA